AAAAAAAAAAAAAAAAAAAAAAAAAAAAAAAAAAAAAAAAAAGGTTGTGGATAGTAAATTTGTAAGCCAAGTTGTTTCTCTCACTGGCAGTGAGAAGTCAGTTTTCTTCGCCACAGAGGTCCCTCAGAGGTGTGTTGCTGGTGACGCCTCTCACTGGTCTCTGTCACTTTCCGGGATTGAATCTGGCATGTGGTACTTTCCCCGCTGCAGCTCCTCATAAGGAGTGTCCAAAGAAACAGGATTCATTTTTCCTGCAGAAAATCCTCTTGACTGGGAAATCGCCTTGGTGACATCAAAACATGTAGCTGGTTGTTTGCACAAGACAAGATGTTGATGAATCGGTTGGAAATTATTTATGTTTCCTTAGCAACCTCAGTAGGAAGCAGGAGTTCTGTAGTTCTCCTGGTGAAAAAAAGATTTCCCTGTTTGTGGAAATCACTGGGCAGGTAGGCACTGTCTTCTCATCCTTTCTTCCTGTGGACTCCACATACTTGACCTCACTTGGCTGACCAAGGTGCCAGGTCAGCAGAGGCATCTCCAGGACCTTGAACAATCCCTTAGAGGATGGCCTTCCTACTCTGGATGTTTGGGAATAGTTCTTTCCCCCAGAGCCACTGGATGGGGATAATTGTGGGCCTGGGACCGGATTTCACTTCTGAACTTTCCTCTGTGGTGCTGATGCACGTGCCTGTTAGAGATGGTGGCCATATTGCAATCCAGGAGTAATGAGTATACCAGGCTTTCCCTATGAGTATTGGTCACTTAATGCTACAGATTGGTAATAAATAAACAATGTTTCTTTCAATATATAAGATCTATATAACTCAAAGATGCATTTAGAGGCTTTCTCAGCCAAGTGGGATTTTCAGGCGATTACCTTCAAGTTGTATTGCCAAAGTATTAATCAAATATTTCCATAATTTAGGATTAGAATCCTAAGTGTCTTTAGACTTCTGTGTTGTGCTCCATGATTTGGTACCACTTTGGTAATCAGAGGGGATCAAGACCCTTGCATGTTCTTTAGTCCACTCTCTCACATTGGTATGCTTTGCCACCTGGCGGGCGGGGGGGCGGGGGGGCAAGGTTCTCTCTACAACTCAGTTTCACCTTGATCTTCTCCCAACCTCACAAATCATGCCTTTAACCACCAAACCTTACAGGCCTCTCTAGTTTAACCTGGCCCTGGGATAAGCTAACTGGGTGACACCACACACTGTATGTATATATGTCATTATAAATGACCCCACACGCTAGGGTCTATTTGCCAGAAACTTTCTCCACAAGACCAAAATGTCCCTTCCTTGAGAAGACAGCAAGTTTTTATCAAAGCCTGCCTTCCACAGACCAGTGGATTCATAACATCCTCAACACCAGAGAACATGCTCTGAGAAATAGGTTTTCTCCTGCCTAAACTGAGGACACCTGCTCCCTTTGGGGTTCTTGCTGCCTTTCAGTTCACAGTCTCGGGAACCCTCCTCAGATGTCTCACTGTACCTTGCAGAGCCCCACTCTCTCTGGTTCACAGATGAGGAGACAGAGGCCTGCAGCAAGCCAAGGGATCAGTAGAGCCAAGGAGCTTGCCTGAGGTGCATTCTAGACCCTTTCTCTTTAGCAAGACATTTGGTGGGTGAAGAATACCATGATGTGCTTTGTTCACTAGGACTCTGGAGAGTTTCTGCTTCGTTTTGTTCGAAGACATTGTGGAGGCTGTGGAAGTCCAGGGGACGGGGACAGAGGGGCAGCTGGTGGAAAGAGATGGCAGGTCCACTCGGGTGCCTGCAGCAGAGCAATGGGGGCCAATGGGAAACAGTGCGCCCTTGTGGTCAGCAGCATCTGGCACAGATGGGCTGGGCAACATCCACCTGGAGACTGGCATTGCCCTGCCCAATCTTGTGTGCCCTCCTCTCTGCGCGGGGAGGCCCCCACGTACTCCCACGTGCCCTGGAGCAGCTGGAGTCCTGCCGGGCTCCAGGCTTCAGTTCTGCTCTGCTCCCTGACTGCTCATCGTGGGCAATTGTGGGGCCTCTGGCTTCACTGCTGGCACTCGCAAGTTACACTGGAGTGCTGTGTGACTGGGGGACTCCTCCGCTGGGCCCTGGTTCTGGCTGAGGGGGGAGCATGTGCTTCCACAGCGCAGGCCTTTGAGAAGCCAGGGCTCCCGTCAGACCGGTACTTCTCCAGGCCTCCAGGGAAACGTGAGTCAAGAGGACGTGATCAACTCTGGAGAAAGGGGCAAAGCTGCCGGCTCGCTTTGGAACCAGGCAGCGCAGAGCAGCCTTTGACTTTTATTATATCACCCTCGTGTAGGAGGAGAAAAAGTGTGGACACCACAGGCAAAAATTAAGTTCCTTTATTTAGCCCCCTCTTTTAGCTCTTCCCTCTTTGGTCCTGTCCAGTTCCCTAACCCACCAACCCCTCCCAGCAACAATCCTTTGCGGCAGTGGGCGTGGCTGTGCCAGTGGGTTCCAGGGAAGGTTGTCCAAGCTTGGAGTGACCTCAGAGACACAGGATGTTCTCAGCATCCTTTGCATATTTATAAAGAAGGTGAGCTCGTCTCCACTTGGTATTCTAAAACGGGAGCCCTTGTGAACTTATTATTCAGGGAGGGATGAAAAAGAGAGACATGGAGAGAGAATCTGATTTCCTTTCCGTGGAATATCTTGTTGACCCATAGAACGTAACTTTGAAATAAATAGACAAAACTTGTCTAATTCTTGGACACCATTCCGTTACTTCAGTGGGGTCAAATTTGTATGCAATTTCACTGAACATCTCACACAAATGAAATTCTGGTCTCTAAGTTTAGAAAAGGTATTATTTGGTCATTGGGAATACATTTCCACCGGCTATGAAAGAGCACATTTGCAAACAACCAAATTTTCTTTACCCTCATGAAAGTGGATCTTAGAAATTATGCTTTACGATTATGGACATGAAAACCAGTGGGCCAAACACAGACGACAAGATGTCATTCCTGCAGCCAGGCCTCGACTTGTCATGTGTGGCCAACCATCAGGTTTTCCAGGAAACTTTTTATGGGCATAGAACATACCCTGACCCCTCACTCAGTCTTTTCACGTATGGCGTAATTCGGGGAGGACATTTAAAAATTCTCATGTTAATGTTGCCCAGAGGAGACAGCCAACAGCCTGCAAATTGGAGTTTTTCTTTGTTTTATCCAGTTTCCAGGTTGTTATAACTACTGTTTTGTCCCTGTGCTTATACATTCTCCAAACTGATAAAGTACATAGGCATCACCAATAAAAGGCAAATGCGATCTGTCCAGGGAGCAACTTACCCGTAGTGGCTTCTCCTTCATTGCCATTCTGGGTCTGTTGCAAGACCTTCACAAATGGAGGAATATTCAATGTTCCTGACAGCTCAGTCTTTCTAACCCCTCTCCCACACAAAACTGCAGGCTGAGAGTCTGAACAAACCGATCTCTCTCAGTTGTTCCTTCCAAGTTTCTCATGGACTGTCTTTCCCACCCCCATCCCACCTACATCCTTCAGACATGCAGCCCTTTACTGGGCAGATGTCTAAAATCTCTTTGATGGACAAACATTTGATTTAGAGGGCCTTAGGAAAAAAGTAGCAAAACATACCACAAAAGGAAATGTACACTTGTGATGTTTACCACAGCTCTGCAATGGACTGTTTCAGAGAGGGAAACAACTCAAAATATTAACTGGTGGGTGTCAGAATTGTTCTTCAACGAGCTAAGTGACACATAACGGAAAACATTGTAATGACCTGTTATTAACGCTAATACCCTAAACAGATGGTGTTCCATTTTTCCCCCAAAAGCGGATTGCTCACCTGATTGAAAAATCATTTTTGAACCCTTACCCCAAACTGCATTAACTTCTGTTGTAGCCACGAGTGTTCTGGTTTGTTTCACTTACTGGGGAAATCTGACCATGAAACCACTACCCACCTTATTTATTTGAGGAATTACTGTTACACTGAGCCCCAAATGGTCAGGAAATGCAGGGTCTGTTAAGTTAAAGTGTGTCTCACACCCCCTTGATCAAAAGGATAGATTCTTGTGGGCACTTATGTAGATTTCTCTGGAAGAGTCTCCCAGGCCTTCATTCTAGCCCCATCTTCCACTACCTTTCCCAAGACCCCTAGCAAGCCTTTGGCTCCAGTTCACCAGTTTTTGAGGCTACACCCTTGAACTGCTAGAAAGGCAGGACCCAGAGGTTCAGGCTCAGCTGTAAAAACCCATGATCCTAGTGAAGGTGGCAGCATTTTTTTCCTTTAATAGAAAACAGACATTTAAGAAATCATTTTAAATCCTTAGTGAAGCCACGTGATGCAGAAATAAATCCATCTGACTTTGACTTTGAAAATATTTTTATTTGAATAGTAAATAGTTATACAGTTGAAACAGTTCTATTGAAGCTTTCTATAAATAGCTAACAATTAAGAAAATAATGTATGTAGAAAAGAGATTGCATTTAAAAGTAAGAGCTGTTGGTTGTACAGGGGCCTCACGGGCCCTCCAAGCAGAATAAAATGGTAGGTTGTCTGTAATTCGCTCAGATAGGTATAAAAGTTAAAACTTTTAACAGATCCCTTTAGAAAAAGGCTCTCTTCTAAAATGCACAGTGAAATGTCAAGAGTGGCAAGGGAGGGGGAAAAGCGTACCAAAAAAAAAAAAAAAGATCTGCAATCAAATAATAGCATAATCTTCATAATTAATATAAATAAATAAAGAATAAATAACAATTACTCATAAATCAACATATACATTTAGAGAGAACTTATATAGTCCTACCTCAACAAAGATGATAAAACCAAAGAGTCTTATGTGAAGTATTGAGGCAGTTTCTACAGCATTTTCTGAAAATTCCCTTCCCTCCCCCAAAACAATCCCAGACAACAGTTCAAGGCATTTGTGGCTATACTAAAGAAAACTCTTTTTTAAGCAATTTGATTTGTTCACATACAAAAAGGTAAAGCCAGACTCCAGCAGTTCACAAGCCATAATAAAGCTAATCGTGTGGGAAGTTCAATTTACAGCCTGTGAAATATAAAGGCATTTATTCCTCAAGATTCACCCAAAACAACCCGTACGCTACATACATAGAGAGCAGAGATTGGTAGGCGAGAGCAAACCGCATTTCTAGACCATGAACACAGCGAATACTAGCAAGAAAAACAGCTCTCCCCTCCAAGGGGAAGCTTCCAACCACGAGACAAACGCTTACAGCTTTTCTCTCTTGTACAGAAAGAGATTGGCTCCTGTTGCGCCAAGGAGGGGAAGGGGACACAACGCAAGGGGGGGGGGGGTCCGAAAGGAGTCACAACGAGAGGATTGGGGTTACCGTCACGCCACACCGAGAGAAGCGGAGACAACACTTTCACCGGGGGTGGGCGCCCCCGGAGCGGACGCGGGTTCAGGGCGCGCAGGGCGCGCTCTCCTCGTGGGTCTCCAAGAGAAGGCACAGTTCGGGGGGGCCGCGATGGAGGGCGCGCTCTAGCAGGCCGGACGCACGGGCACCTGCAGGAGGATCACCTGTCGGTTCTCGGACGGGTGGCACTTGTTGATGTGCCGCGTGAGACCAGGCGAGCTGTAGAAGGTGGCCGGGCAGTACTTGCAGGGGAACACCTGGGCGGCGTGCAGCAGGCGCAGGTGGCGCTCCTGGGCGCCCTTGCTGGGGAACGTCTCCCCGCACACTGGGCACAGGTGGCACTCGGAGGACGCACTCAGGCCCAGCACTCCGGCCGCCTCGCCGTCGCCGGCCGCCTCCTGGGGCGCCTTCTCGTCGGGCCCAGGGTACAAGGCCAGTAGGTCCTCGGCCGGAGGCGCGGGCGGCGCGCCCTTGGCCTGCAACGCCTGGTGGTGCGCCAGCAGGTGTTTGCGCAGATAGGCCTGGCGGCGGAACTTCTTGGCGCAGTGGTGGCACTCGTAGAGCCCGTCCTCGGAGCCCGACTCGGACACGCCGCCGGGGCTCGGAGTGTCGCGGTCGCTGCCGCCGCCTGTCGCCTCCCGCGCCTCAGCCCTGGCAGCGGTTTCAGGCTCGGACGCGCGGGCGGCGGCGGGCGCAGGCCGCGGTTTGTGCCAGCGGCGGTGCGAGGCCAGGTTGGCGGGGCAGCTGAACACCTTGGCGCACTCGGGGCAGCGGTACTCCACGCGCACGATGCGCGAGCACTTGTGCTGCGCCAGCGCGAACGGGTCGGCGTACTCCTCCTTGCAAAGCTGGCAGATGAACTCGCCTAACGGCCGCGCCGCGCCCCCCGCCCGGCCCCGCGGCGCCTCCACCGGGCCCTCTTTGATCTTGAGCCCTAGCACAGGCGACGTGGTCACCTCGTCCTCGAAGTGC